ATTATTCTTTCTTTCAACACACCGGCTGGATCCCACCTAGGCGGGTGGCCCAAAGGAAAAACGAAAGTTTCTCCTTTTACATTTAGTAATATATACAGGAGAAGGGGTTACTACCCCCTTGCTCCCGGCATTTTAGTCGCCTCTTACAACACACATGGCTTACGGAGGAAGAATTCTGTTCCACTTCCCCATGGAGGTATGAGGGAATAAACAAGAACAAGAACTAGTAAGAAAATAGAAGAAAACCCAGATGGGTGTGTGTATATATGTTTGTACATGTATGTGTAGTGTGACCTAAGTGTAAGTAGAAGTAGCAAGACTACCTGAAATCTTGCATGTTTATGAGACAGAAAAATAGACACCAGCAATCCTACCATCATTTAAAACAATTACAGGCTTCCGTTTTACACTCACTTGGCAGGACGGTAGTACCTCCCTGGGTGATTGCTGTCTACCAACCTACTACCTAGGATTATTATTATTATTATTATTATTATTATTATTATTATTAGGAAAATAACGAAACAACTCCCAGGAAACGAGAGGCGATTCAGTGTAATCTGAGAAAGTAAAGACAACTAGGAACTTCCCTCAGGAAAGGAACTTCCTTCTGGAAAGTAACTTCCCTCAGGAAAGGAACTTCCCTCAGGAAAGGAACTTCCCTCAGGAAAGGAACTTCCCTCAGGAAAGGAACTTCCCTCAGAAAAGGAACTTCCCTCGGGAAAGGAACTTCCTTCAGGAAAGGAACTTCCCTCAGAAAAGGAACTTCCCTCAGAAAAGGAACTTCCCTCGGGAAAGGAACTTCCCTCAGGAAAGGAACTTCCCTCAGGAAAGGAACTTCCCTCAGGAAAGGAACTTCCCTCAGGAAAGGAACTTCCCTCAGGAAAGGAACTTCCCTCAGAAAAGGAACTTCCCTCATGAAAGGAACTTCCCTCAGGAAAGGAACTTCCCTCAGGAAAGGAACTTCCCTCAGGAAAGGAACTTCCCTCAGGAAAGGAACTTCCCTTGGAAACTTCTGTTGGGAATTTTCCTTGTAGTAAGGGAAGTACTTCCAGTATAGTAAGGTACGTGTCTCTGGTGTTACGTTCCTGAGGTGACAGTCTGGACGTAAACACAAGTTTCTGATATATCTTTAAAGTGGTCAACTCTCCCTGGTGACCGAAATAAAGGTGGATTGTGGCTCAGATGGCAGCGCTCTCGGTTCACAACCAAAGGACTCGGTTTCAGTCCCGGGTAGGTGAAGGCTAAGGGCAAGGTTACTAAGGCTCTATTCACGTAGCTGTCAACAGGCACATAGTTCTTAGCAGAATTATGAGAGTGCAAGCTTATATTTCACACATACACGCTCACACCACCACACAACACACACCACACTCACACACACCCACACAACACGGTTTAACAATACTATCATTGCAGAATAAACTAAGCAAGTTATTTCTAACCATAAAACACAACACGGAGGCTTTGTGCCAATTTGTAGCATAAGGGTTTTTCCATGTTTTGTTTTTCCCCCCAGAAGTAAATGACCGAGTGTCGTACAAAAATTTAACCCTCATGTTAAAATATTCTGAACGTTTTGAACATTGTGTTGTGATCTGGTTTATATTTATTCTTAAACAACCCGCATTTGGGAGTCTAATGGCTATATTTTGGCGTTCCTGGGACACTGGCTTTTTTTTTTACTCTCTCGCCTTGTGACTTGACAATAGTCCAAGAGGGTTCCTCTGCTCACAAGGGTCCTCTGCTCACAAGGTTCCTCTGCTCACAAGGTTCCTCTGCTCTATTCTTAAGGTCCTCTGCTCACAGGTTCCTCTGCTCACATAGGTTCCTCTGCTCCACTGTCACAGGTTCCTCTGCTCACAAGGTTCCTCTGCTCACTAGGTTCCTCTGCTCACTAGGTTCCTTCATGCCTCCACTAGGTTCCTCTGCTCACAAGGTTCCTCTGCTCACTAGGTTCCTCTGCTCACAGGTTCCTCTGCTCACTAGGTTCCTCTGCTCACAAGGTTCCTCTGCTCACTAGGTTCCTCTGCTCACAAGGTTCCTCTGCTCACTAGGTTCCTCTGCTCACTAGGTTCCTCTGCTCACAAGGTTCCTCTGCTCACAAGGTTCCTCTGCTCACAAGGTTCCTCTGCTCACAAGGTTCCTCTGCTCACAAGGTTCCTCTGCTCACTAGGTTCCTCTGCTCACAAGGTTCCTCTGCTCACTAGGTTCCTCTGCTCACAAGGTTCCTCTGCTCACTAGGTTCCTCTGCTCACTAGGTTCCTCTGCTCACAAGGTTCCTCTGCTCACAAGGTTCCTCTGCTCACTAGGTTCCTCTGCTCACAAGGTTCCTCTGCTCACAGGTTCCTCTGCTCACAAGGTTCCTCTGCTCACAAGGTTCCTCTGCTCACAAGGTTCCTCTGCTCACTAGGTTCCTCTGCTCACAAGGTTCCTCTGCTCACAAGGTTCCTCTGCTCACAAGGTTCCTCTGCTCACAAGGTTCCTCTGCTCACAAGGTTCCTCTGCTCACTAGGTTCCTCTGCTCACTAGGTTCCTCTGCTCACTAGGTTCCTCTGCTCACAAGGTTCCTCTGCTCACTAGGTTCCTCTGCTCACTAGGTTCCTCTGCTCACTAGGTTCCTCTGCTCAAGTTCCTCTGCTCACTAGGTTCCTCTGCTCACTAGGTTCCTCTGCTCACTAGGTTCCTCTGCTCACTAGGTTCTCTGCTCACTAGGTTCCTCTGCTCACTAGGTTCCTCTGCTCACAAGGTTCCTCTGCTCACTAGGTTCCTCTGCTCACAAGGTTCCTCTGCACCTCAACATAACAGTGACTTTCTTTGTACTTAACAAACCAAAATTGTAATTACACACTGTAACCTTTACGAAGAAATAAATCTTCATCTTTATACTAATCTGAAGGCACCTTCGTATTGAAGGTGCCTTTGTATCGAATGTGTAAGTACCTTTGTATTGAAGGTGTAGGTACATTTGTATCGAAGATGTTGGTACCTTTGTATCGAAGCTTGTTCTATCTAGGCTGGAATATTGCTGCACACTAACAGCACCTTTCAAGGCAGGTGAAATTGCTGACCTAGAAAATGTACAGAGAACTTTCACGGCGCGCATAACGGAGATAAAACACCTCAATTACTGGGAGCGCTTGAGGTTCCTAAACCTGTATTCCCTGGAATGCAGGCGGGAGAGATACATGATTATATACACCTGGAAAATCCTAGAGGGACTAGTACCGAACTTGCACACGAAAATCACTCACTACGAAAGCAAAAGACTTGGCAGACGATGCAACATCCCCCAATGAAAAGCAGGGGTGTCACTAGCACGTTAAGAGACAATACAATAAGTGTCAGGGGCCCGAGACTGTTCAACTGCCTCCCAGCACACATAAGGGGGATTACCAACAGACCCCTGGCAGTCTTCAAGCTGGCACTGGACAAGCACCTAAAGTCAGTTCCGGATCAGCCGGGCTGTGGCTCGTACGTTGGTTTGCGTGCAGCCAGCAGCAACAGCCTGGCTGATCAGGCTCTGATCCACCAGGAGGCCTGGTCACAGACCGGGCCGCGGGGGCGTTGACCCCCGGAACTCTCTCCAGGCAACTCCAGGTAACCCTTGTATCGAAGGTGTGGGTACCTTTGCATCGAAGGTGTGGGTACCTTTGCATCGAAGGTGTGGGTACCTTTGCATCGAAGGTGTGGGTACCTTTGCATCGAAGGTGTGGGTACCTTTGCATCGAAGGTGTGGGTACCTTTGCATCGAAGGTGTGGGTACCTTTGCATCGAAGGTGTGGGTACCTTTGCATCGAAGGTGTGGGTACCTTTGCATCGAAGGTGTGGGTACCTTTGTATCGAAGGTGTGGGTACCTTTGTATCGAATGTGGTGTAAGTACCTTTGTATCAAGTGTAAATACCTTTGTAACGAAGGTGTAGGTACCTCTGAAGTAAAGTTGTAGGTACCTTTGTATCGAAGGCGTGAGTACCTTTGTATTGAAGGTGTAGGTATCTTTATATCGAAGGCGTGGGTACCTTAGTATCGAAGATGCAAATACCTTTGTATTGAAGGTGTAGGTACCTTTGTGTTCGAAGACCATGAGGCCTGATCACAGACCGGGCCGCGGGGGCGTTGATTCCCGAAACCCTTTCCAGGTATACTCCAGGTATACTCCAGGTATACTCCAGGTATATTCCAGGTATATTCCAGGTATACTCCAGGTATACCTTTCTGTTCAGAGTGTAGGTACCAAGTGAACCTTTTTCCTGGTAGCAAGCCGTAAGAGATACCTATTTACTGAATAGGGACAGCAGGTGTCAGGGCAGCAGGTATCAGGGAACTTACGTATAAGACTCAGGTATCCACAGAGTCGAACCCAGGACCTTTCGGTTGTTCGCCGAGCCTTCTGACCACAAAGTTAAAGAATGTAATTTCTGCAACATTGCAAGCTCCTGAAGATGTAATGATTGCAACACGAAAGGCCTAGAACTATTATTACACCAATATATATCAAACTGAATGGTAGGGATTTAGATTTGATGAAAGGACATGAAAGGTAGATGTAGTTCCCTGGATCAAGAGTCCCTCACTGGCATCATGGCACCCCATCCCCCATGATGGTAATGCTGCCATGTAGAAGGAAAATGTCGTCCTGTTGTATCTTTTGCTCAAATCATAACCCGGTCAGTGGTTAGAAAACCCTCTGGCATCCCCCTGTCGTACTTGTGATACAGCAGCCTCCAGGTTTCCGCCCTTTTAAACAACATATGTTTACATAATGTCCTGGCTGGTTAATGGGGTTTTGAAAGCTTATCAACTACACGAGGGTCATTAAGGCTGCACATCACCTGTACACCACCAGTTTAGAATACTTTAATAGGTAAAACAGTAATTAATATAAACTCTATGTGTATATATGCTGAGAGGTCGATACCTCTTGGTGTATATACATTAAAATAGACACCTCTGCGTGTATATATACTCTGAGTGTCCTGGTATTTAGGAGTGACCGTACCTGAGTATGGACGGGTGGCAGTGGTTCGGTTGCTGTGCGTTTAGCGTTGGTGTCTGATGTTACACACACACCCAGCTCCGACAGTGTCATTCTTGGCCTTCAGGCCTCCCTCCCTCTCACCACACATACATCACACCCTCACCACACCTAGCACACCCTCACCACACCTAGCACACCCTCACCACACCTAGCGTGAGCACCTAGGTGGCCGAGGGCACCCGGAGCAGCACATAGCGAGGCACGTCACACCACAGCACTCTATTGATCACTGGGGGGACCAGACCAGTGCGCGACACCAGCGCTCACATCTGTGTGGCAACCCAGCCCATCTGGGCACACCTCCAGTGCCATCAACACCACTGCCAACACTGATGACACCACCACCATAACTCTTCCTCCTGTAGCTACAAATAGGTCATCGTAAATTAGGTAATCTCGTAAAATAGGTAATCACATGTGCACAACTCGAACGCCCTCACCCTCCCTCCCACTGACAACACTCAGCACCGACATCAGGGTATATATGCCTAAAAGTATATATCTCTGTGTATAAACAATGAGAGGTGTATATCTCAGTGTATATGCACAGAGTGTACATTAATCTCTATTTTGGGTATTAAAGTATTATTTACTGGTGGTGAACAAGTGACATGCAGCCTTAATGACCATAGTGTAGTAAATAGACTTATAACCACATTAGCCAACACAACAAGATCTTCAACCTCAGTGGCTAAGATCTCTTGATCTGAGGTTTCATAGCTACTTTCCCTTCCTCGGATCAAACATAATCACCTCTCATTCCCCTAAGACTGTTTAACATTTCACGGATTTACCATTGCCTTATAAAGGCGCTAAAGCCGTAGGGGGTCACATAGCGCCTGTAGAGTGGGAGTCATTGGAATTCGACTCAGATAAGAAATCCAATTCCTTGCATTAAGAGCCTCTCACCAGCATCAAGGTAAAATAATACCATTCTATATTGGTATTAAAAGTGACAAAATGGCATCAGTATACTCCATTAAATATAACAATCCTCTAATAAGTAGGAAAAACGACTGTTGAAAATTTGTAAGTGATCATAGGAGTCTGTCTACCTATCACATAGAAGCAAATTTTGGGAATGGCCTGTATCGCATTGTGCGTGGGTCACCCAGGCATGCAAATTAGCTTCATGAATAATGCCATACTACTATATAGAGAGCTCCTTGTTATGCAGAGTATTTAGGGCAGGTCAATTTTGTCCCAGGATGCGACCCACACCAGTCCACTAACACCCAGGTACCTATTTTACTGATAGGTGAACATGGACAGCAGGTGCCTTAAGGAAACACGTCCTAATGTAAATATAAATGAGGGTGTTTTGGGGGTCAACGCCCCCGCAGCCCGGTCTGTGACCAGGCCTTGTGGTGGATCAGGGTCTGATCAACCATGCTGTTACTGCTGGCCACACGTAAACCGACGTACGAACCACAGCTCGACTGGTCAGATACTGACTTTAGGTGCCTGTCCAGTGCCTTCTTGAAGACAGTCAGGGGTCTATTGGTAATCCCCCTTATGTATGCTGGGAGGCAGTTGTATTCATTAAAATTGTCAAGTATGCACTTATACCAGCCATTATCAGGGAGTCTTGCATTGAGGGAACCACACAAGTGGTCATGATTTGAAGCAGGTGTTCTAACTCGACTGTTAACCCACTCAGCTCACACACTGAGGTGGTTCGATCCCTGGTTCGGGTGGAAACATTAGAACGTGTCCATGTTCACCTAGCAGTAAAATAGGTACCTGGGTGTTGGTAGACTGGTATGGGATGCATCCTGGAACAAAACTGCAGTAATTTGCAGGAAATGCTCTGCATAATAAGCGGCTTTCTGTATAATGGTATGTCACTGGAGCATACCTGGAGTATACCTGGAAAGAGTTCCAGGGGTCAACGCCCCCGCGGCCCGGTCTATGACCAGGCCTCATGGTGGATCAGGGCCTGATCAACCAGGCTGTTACTGCTGGCCGCACGTCATCCAACGTACGAACCACAACCCGGCTGGTCAGGTACTAAGTTTAGTTGCCGGTCCAGTTCCTGCTTGAAGACAGCCAGGGGTCTATTGGTAATCTCCCTGATGTAATGCTGGAAGGCAGTTGAACGGTCTTGGGCCCCTGACACTTATTGTGTTGTCTCTTATCGTGCTAGTGGCACCCCTGCTTTTCACAGGGAGGAATGTTGCATCGTCTGCCAAGTCTTTTGCTTTCGTAGGGATTGATTTTCGTGTGCAAGTTTGGTACTAATCCCTCTAGGAGTTTCCAACAGTATATAATCATGTATCTGTCCCTCCTGCGTTCTAGGGAGTACAGGTTTAGGAACTTCAAGCGCTCCCAGTAACTGAGGTGTTTTATCGCAGTTATAGGCGCCGTGAAGGTTCTCTGTACATTTTCTAGGTCTGCAATTTCACCTGCCTTGAAAAGTGCTGTTAGTGTGCAGCAATATTCCAGCCTAGATAGAACAAGCAACCTGAAGAGTGATCATCATAGGCTTGGTATCCCTGGTTCTGAAGGTTCTCATTATCCATTCTGTCATTTTTCTAGCAGATGCGATTGATACAATGTTATGGTCCTTGAAGGTGAGATCCTCTGACATAATCACTCCCAGGTCTTTGACATTAGTTTTTCGCTCTATTGTGTGGTTGGAATTTGTTTTATGCTTCGATGAAGTTTTCCATATCGGAGTAATTTAAATTTCTCATCATTGACTTTCATATTGTTTTCTGAAGCCCATTTAAAGATTTGGTTGATGTCCGCCTGAAGTCTTGCAGTGTCTGCAATGGAAGACACTGTCATGCAGATTCGGGTGTCATCTGCAAAGGGAGACACGGTGCTGTGGCTGACATCCTTGTCTATGTCAGATATGAGGATGAGGAACAGAATGGGAGCGAGTACTGTGCCTTGTGGAACAGAACTTCTCGCTATAGCCGCCTCAGACTTTACTCTGTTGACTACTACTCTTTATGTTCTATTTGTTAGAAATTATAGATCCATCTACCAACTTTTCCAGTTATTCCTTTATCAAGCATTTGGTGTGCTATTACACCATGGTCACACTTGTCAAAGGCTTTTGCAAAATCTGTGTACATTATATCTGCATTCTGTTTGTCTTCATGAGCATGATGTCAGCTAGTACTATATACCTTGTACATGTACTTGTAGAAATAAAGATATTATTATTATTATTATTATTATTATTATTATTATTATTATTATTATTATTATTATTAAGCCGGTCAGAGGAGCCATTCCCCATCAAGTTTTTTAGCTATTTTACTAAGCAGCACACAAACCAAACTTAATAAGTACTATCCTGGACCTAAGATACGTCAGCCATGGAATTCTGAAGATGTTCAGAAGACGTAAACTGGAATTTATTTAAGAGTGACTTAACGAGAATAAAAATTCCACCCTGTTTTACATATAAAACAGTCAATCCTTCACTTATTCTCTTTCATTCTCCGCCGTCGTCGAACTGGCAACTTTTGTGAATGTTTGAAGCTCAGCTGCTGAGGATTGTGGAGGTTATCTCAGCTGTTCCAGGATGCTGAGATGAGTTAATTAACCCTGGTCATAGGGCACGGGAACATGCCAAGTGTTCCAGGGATCTGGGTCTCATAAATAATAATAATAATAATAATAATAATAATAATAATAATTAATAATAATAATAATTCCTACCAGTACATGATACAACTATTACAGACCATAGCTGACGTCACTGACATACTATATACAAAGCCTCTGGTTATGCAGAATATTTCAGGCAAATTACGTTAATCTTGTCCGCCAGGATGCGACCCACATCGGTCGATTAACACCCAGGTACCTAAGTACTGCTAGGTGAACATGGACAGCAGGTGTCATAAGGAAACATAAAGATGGAGAACTAGACACATGTGCAACATCAGGGTATCTTTATTTGTAGACGTTTCGCCATCCAGTGACTTTATCAATACAAGGACATAATGGGAAGAATGAAGATCTATATTCAAAATATGAGGTAGTCAGTCCCTCAGGCAGGTTAGGTTAGATAAGATTCGTCAGGAAACAGGACAAGTGTTCCCTGACGCGGGTCTTAGTCATACGATAACCCGCAGCTGGAGCTTTTGGCCTTTTGATCGAAGCCTTCCCCTGGCTTACTGGTCCACCTCTTTAAATCATGGTTATGATTATAACCAATAGTACTTAAAAAAAAGCACAGATAGAAGGACTGTCGTTTATATACATTTCACCCATGCCGGGGATCAATCCCGGACCCTCAGTGTGTGAGCTGGGAGCGCTATCAACTAAGCCACGAGTGCCCCATTGAAAAGTTGAAGCCTACCGAATGAGTCGTTCTCGAGTTATGAGCGAAAACAGACAAAAAGTGGGACGAAATAAATGGAAATAGCTTATAAGGTCTGTTTCTGGGGATACCAAATAATACCGAATATATATAATTCACTTCTACATTCAAATTCAAATTTTTATTTCTTTTTATGCAGTGCAAAGATAATATAATTTACATGTAATAAAATATTGTTAGCTACAAAAAGCCAATTATACAAAAATAAATACATTTTTTTATTTCCTCTCAAAGGTTACAATACGTTTTATTATATGTTAGAAAGAGATAAGATTTTGTTGGGGGTTTTAATCCCGGAGGGTTAGTCCCTTGATGCCATCCACACCACTTCACTAACACTAACACACTTGCTTGCTAAATGAACGGGACAACAGGTGTTAGGAAACACGCCCAGTGTTTCTACCGTTGCAGCGAATCGAACCACGAATCCTCAGTGTGTGCAGCGAGAGTACTGCCTACCAGGCCACGAGCCACCGTAAGTACAAAGTACAAATAAAGCCACTTACATATCTGAACATTTCTCCACATTGATGTCATTTCAGTAGCAGCTACCAGGCTCTCGCATGTCCTCCAATGATGGAATCCTTACTGTCCACGAGCTGTATTATCTTCCCTTGTGAGTGTAATAATGGGTGTCTTGATAATCACCAGGAGCTGGAATGTTATAGGGTTCAATACGGCTTGCACCGTGGGAGGCCCTTAACAACCAATATCCCTGATGCCAGAAATGTCTCCATAAGGTCTCAATAATAATTCTCAGATGTTTCGCATTTGTCTTATTCATCAAACTTCTAGTATTATTTAACACTATTCTCATTATAAATCCTACTAACAACAACAGAAGGCGGAGGAGGAGGGAAAGAAGAAGAAGAATTAAACGTAGACGAATGATTCAGAGAACCGACAAGTTGATAAATTAGACACATGTGCAACATTTGGGTATTTTTAATGAGGAAACGTTTCGCTCCGCAATGGCTT